AAGACATGAACACTTGGCTTTCAAAAACTCCTCTCTTATTTAAAATCTTTGTTCTCCCTTCTTCCTTGTGTTATTTTTCTACTATTAGCCGGCCGCAAGCCAAGGCTAATCATCTGTGCTATTTGGTTCTTTCATTCTGCTTACCTCTATCTTCACTGGTATGTTCTAGTTTAATTTAAAGCCTCAACAATAATATGTTTCTCTTCTTGTTTCAGTTTCTTTTATTTCTAGCCTGCTTTTACTTGTGGTTCTATTGTGAAGTTTGTAGTTAGGCATGCTAGTATGATTCCCCTCCTTCTAAATTCATGTATTCCCTTGTGTGATTCAAGCATGCCTGGACAATTGTTTTTAACCTACTATGTGCTTACCATTCTTATGAGTCCCAAATCCCTATCCCCCTATGTGTTTATATTCTCCCTGATTAGTTTGTGATTATGCCAGTTTTAATTATAGCTGAGCATGTCCAAACCAGTCCAAATACCCTTGTCAGGATTATATATTTGCAGTCAAATGCCTGTGTATCCCCAAGCCCGTTGACCCCCTATGTGACTATTGAACTCATTTGGGTTCTGTGTATGATCCTATCTTGAGTTCTTATTTTGTTTATCACTCCAAACTTTTCAAACAATCTCTATTACCTTGCTGACTGCTTTCAAAATAGACTTTTAAGTCCAATCTTTAATAAACTTCTTTCAACCTACTTTCACTCTACTCTTAGTTAATAAATTATGTCCCTTCTAGTATGTGTACTTCCTTGGGATCCTCTTGAGAACCCTCTGAACTCTGGCATACTGAGGCTGGCCTTTCCACACTGCACTGGTTCAATGCTTGGCTACTAAGTCTAGGTGTAAGTATTGCCCGGGGTCCTTGAGACCCTTAGAGAACTTTGATGCACCTAGACTTTGATTTGTCTATGGAAATGAGGCTTGAAAGACCATTGGAGGCTTTGGGAAACTTGGGCCTAATTGCAGGCTCTCTATAGAATAGCTTATTGATTTTCTATTTCACTTATATAGTTCATTTGTTGACCTGTAATAATTTGTGAACATATATTTGGGGTATTTAGTAAAAGGGTGGGTAGATGTATACTTTTTGGGGTAACATGGGTAGAAATTCTGCTCTTAGGATTTATTTTTCAAATCTACCTGCTTCACTCAATAGAAAACATGTCCATATGGTTCTTATTCTTGTTGAATCTGATTGCTTTTGCATAATATAATCATGCCTATAGAGTTCCACTTTTAATTTCATTTGCATCAAATAGAAATCATACCTATAAGGACTTCACTTTTAATGTCGTTTGCATCAGATAGAAACCATGTTCATAAATCTTGCATTTGAAACCATGTTTCTAGGTTCCAAGCCCTCATGTTTTAAATCGATTCAAGTATAGATACCATGCCTATAGGACATATTTCTGATTTAGTAAGTCTTTCACACGTTACTGCAAATTGACTAAAACCAGTAATACGCCTAGATACCATGCCTATAGGACATATTTCTGATTTAGTAAGTCTTTCACACGTTACTGCAAATTGACTAAAACCAGTAATACGCCTAGATACCATGCCTATAGGGATTTCTATTCGCAATTACGTCTGAAAATCTAATTAGCCTAACAAGTCGATTTCACTTCGCTTAGTTCCTTCTTAAAACTGGCCTTATTAAGTGTCAAACATTTCTAAAACTTGTCTCTTCAAAATTGTTTTAATCTCATTAGATATCCTTCCTATAGGTATTAAAAGGTTCTATTTCGAAAACTTGTTTGTTTCTGCATTAACATAGACACAGTACTGCATATAGGCTTAGGCCAGAAAACCTGCATTTCTCTGAAGTTGTTTCTGTCATTCAATGTTTTTTGATTCTAATAAGCTTTTAAAGAGGAGTCCCCAGGCAACTACTAGGTTATAACTTCTGGATCTGAAAGTTATTTATTTCTACACAATTACTTAGAAATCCTACTTTAGGACTTTGATTAATAAAGACCTTACTTGTGGTTGAAGTCGTGCTGCCTGTATGCTTGTTTGCGGAGGAAATTATGAGCCTTTTGCTTGCTCCTATTATGTGAAAGTCCTAAATGCTTTTTGACTGTCGCCTTAGATTTTTGCCTTTAAAACCTTAGGGGTACGTCTAGAACCACCTATAGGTAGAGGTCCTAACTCCCTCCGGGACCATTAAGAAGGGACGGTAGCAACACGCAATAGGAATCGGTGACCAAACACTCGTTTTGCATGACCAATAAGGGGATGGGAAGGGTAGACATGGGATATAATGACTACGCGTTAATGTCACGTCTAGCCCTTCATTGAGGAGTGTTTACTAGACATTGCATGGGGTGATCCTATAGGATAAACAACCTAGGACCCCTCCTTACCCCAAATCTTCTTCTTATTTAAAAATTTGTTTTATATAATTTGTTCAAACCTTTATTTCACTACTTGACTTGTTCAATGAGCTTTACGACTTATTTGATTCAACTATTTGTACGGACTAATTTGTAAATATAAGTTCGGCCGGGACCCACAGTTGTGGACCAAGAGGGGTGCCTAACACCTTTCCCTCGAGGTTATTTCGAGACCTTACCCTAATCTCTGGTAATGCAAACCAACCCAAGAGTTAATCACTCTAGGTGCCCTAACGCACTATAATCCGTTGGGTGGCGACTCTTCAAATACCCAATTCCCAAAAGGAAACGAGTCATTACACCCCATGAATGTCGAAACCCGGACTTTCTCCTCGCGAGGAGGGAAAAAAGGGGGTGCGACAACTATATTTGAATTTTATAGCAAATCCGTGAAATAAGAGATTAATTGTTTTGAACAGAAATAAGAGAGCAACAAATCTTTGTAGCTTAGTTGGTTAGAGCGCTTGCTTAGTTAGCGGAGGTCTTGAGTTCAACCCTCAACAAGAACATTTTATTTTTCCATACTTCTATCTTACGCCTTACTTTTATTTGTTGCGCGAACAAATAAAGTCGATACACGTTCTACCCTTTGTATACACCCTTGTATTTCGCCTTGGTTATAGACTTACAATTGATACACGTTCTATTCAAACGAATACAATTGCCACATGTTGATTCGTTACGTGTTTGAATACAAATGATACAAATTAGTAACAATTGAATAGTAGCTACAAATGATAATCAGACAAACTATAGTTACTAGGCTCTAAACTATAGTGGTTTTATGAATATTCCTCCAAAACAATATAACTTGGGGAAAAAAATCAGAAATAGCCATATTTACAACTGGTAAGTGATAAATAGCCACAATTTCAAAAGTAATCAAAATCTAGGTATTTTTCATATAAAGATAAAATCCGAACAAAAACACTTAAAAATTCGAAAATATTTCAGCATAATATGTTGGAGTTCGAATTTTTTATATATGAGCTTCCTGCATAATATGATGGAATTTATAATGTGCTGGAGTTCCATCATAATATGCTGGAAGTTTATATGCAGGAACTCCACAATCCCGCATATTATGCTTGAACTTTCCGTGTACTGGAGTTCCAACATAATATGCAGGAAGTTTATATGCAAGAGCTCCATATTCCAACACATTATGCTGGAACTTTCCGTGTTTCAGCAAAACAATGGTTATTTTTCAATAACTTCGCAAACATTAGCTATTTTTCAATTATCAGTCCAAAAAAACTGACTAGCCCATGCTATTTTTACATATAACTTTGTCCATGTTGGGCCCAGACAAAGCCCGAGCTACCCTGCCCCTAGTATGTCAATAGGACATGAATTGCCAATAAAATTAGGAGTGGGCATCGGTCGGTTCGGTTCGGTTATGAATATTATCGGTTTAGCATATCGGTTACCGATTTATAAATTTGATAAACTGATAACCGAACTGATATGATATCGGTTATCGATTAATCGATTATCGTTCATTATCAGTTTGGTAATCGGTTTATCCGATAAGATAACTCAATCTAGAGTTAAGCAAAAAAGAGAAGACAATTCACTTGAGTTAAGCAAAAAAGAGAAGAATTCACATATAGTATACTACCCATTTCTGCGTTATGTCCAGTGACCACAACTGGAATAGTACTAATACTTCAACAATAGTTGTCCAGATACATTAATAGTAATACAAAGTAGTAGCAATTTCACCTTAAAATTAACAAGTCCAAACATATAGTACTAACAATCAAAGATAAACTGGATGTTGTTGGTCAAATGCTTAACTTGAAAAAAGAAACCATAAAGCAAAACATTGATCTGTGCATGGGCAATACTAACGCAAAAATAAAAAACACCTAGAAGGCAAGAAAATATTGTCCTGTTGTCAAAGCTCAACGTACTATACAGAAGAATAATGTTCAAAAATATAGCTGAAACGGGCGAAGATTGTCGATTGAGAATTGATAAGTGCGAAGAACAATTGGTAGTAGGTATATGCTGCACAACGTGAGCTCACAAAATTAAGAAACAAAAATAAAAAATAAAGAATCATTAACACTCAAAAATACCAATATGAAAGATGAATTTTGTTATAGAAATTAAAAGCCTAATGTATAAGACTAAAGACTTACGCTAGGAGTAACTAGTAAGGTCTATGAAGAATGAAGATGAAGCAACTGAAGAGTACGACTGAGAAAGAATAGGAGAGAATGAACCGGAGCCCTAGCATATGTATATACTTAAGGGTAAAGTCGTAATTTTATTAATTCTTATTGGGTTATCAGTTAACCCATTAACAAAATTGGCAAACCGAGACCCGAACCGATAACCCAATAGTAAAAAAATTCTAAACTGTTACCGTACCGTTAACCCAATAATCCAATAACCCAATACTGATAACCCAATAAACAATTAACGGTTTGGGTTATCGGTTTTACCCGATATATGCCCAGTCTTAAATAAAATAAGATCAACTTCCCAAAAGTAGGTGCACATTGATAAATCGAAGATGAAATTTATTATTAAGGAAAAAGAATGAAACTCACAACCCTTCATAAAACAGAGAGTGAATAATCAAGTGTCAAAGGAAAGAATCAATGAAAAAATTAAATTGAATCTGATCTTTAAACCGAGAAGCTACAAAATTGGAATACCCTGTTCAGTGACAATAAATGCTATAATTCTATATTATGGTAGCGAGATGCTAAAATAAAACCAGATGCAACTCCAATCGTAGACAACCAAAACTGCAAAACCTTGATCGCAGTAGCACGTGAAGAGGATACTCCACGTCGTGTCATTTTTATGATACAAAACCTAAATCCGCAGTAATTTTAACTCATCTTCAAACTTTGTAATTGTTGAACGCCTAAATGGAAGTGGAAATGAAGACATAACAAAAACCTTCAGAAAGTTGATGTTGGACAAAATTGTGTTCTCCGTTCACCGCAAGATCCATGCCAGATCATGGCGTCACTGGTGAAGAATGCCTCAATTTATCAATCTTTAGCCCCTGCATCTTTCTACAGTTTTTGGGTACCAAAAATCCTTTGGCTTTGATTTCAGATTCAATACTGGATTTTATCCTCCACAACAGCTCAGTGCAATGCTGATGAGATGATTTAGTGGGGCCGATGTTGCTCTGGACCTGAAAATTGGATACTCTTTGACTGGATGATTCCCACTTGGATTCCAGATAAGGAAGGGATCGCCACGGAGGAAGAGGCATTGAGTTCTGTTTGAGTGAACATTTTGCTGCTTCCACCATGGCCTGAAGATACAGCTTAAGCTTTCTTACTGTGCCAACATAAACTGGTGGAAGACAATTCAAAACCACATTGTAGGATTTGACAGCTCTTGCAATTTCAAAGTGGCTCCTGAAGTCGATGTCAATGATATACCTTTCAGAGCATCCATCATTTTCATGGGAGATCACCTCAATGTACTCATGTTCACCTTCATAACATAGGAAAAGTAGCACAATGTCAGCCAGAACTCTAGTTTTCATATTTATTTCAGCAGACGTTACTACCACGGTAATTTTTTGGCTTAAAACTGAAAAGTTAATTTTTTTAATCAAAAGATAAAGTTCCATGGGAACATTATCTTGTTGAATCTACTAATATATATGGTAGACAATGCGACATATTTGCACACATTGACACTAGAACTAAGTTGAAACCCAGCATATAGATATATTGGAAGTTTACGAAGCACCATAGCACCCTATATAAGCCAAAGAAATATTCATAGATAGACGTCTTAAGGTAGCGAACATGCAGGAAACGAATTCAGATAAGTAATAATCTTTGAAAGCATACCTCCAGGAATCTTTCCACAACCCTGCCACTTGGTTGAACACAAAGCTGCAGCATAACCGCAAGACTGTAGGAGCTTCACTAGATTAGATCTGATGCAGCTCGCATTGCAAGTCTCAGGCTTGCTAAGATAGCAAGACTCGCCCAACGAAAGAATCAGCGAATGAACCACCATTGTTAGATCACTTTCATACTGGTCCACTGAGTGCTTGTGTAACTACATAATGGTTCAAATTTGCAGGTAACAAGATTCAGCAAGAAGCAGCAGACAAATATATGAGGGCTAGTACTTTAGTTTTCTTATGCTAGGAGCTCTCAGTGAATCTTTCATTTAGAAGTTCGTTGCATTGACAAGGCTTTTCAGCAGAAGATTCTGCAACAGGCATGGTAACCAGAAAAGGGGACAGAGAAATAGCTCTTGTTTTACTCCTAAATTCGCTATACAAACATATTCCAATAGCTATAATTATACATTCCTAGTCATCTCCATCTCCTAGTTCATAGTTATTGAAAAAAAGGAGAAATAAAGATTGGAGCCTACTACAATAGTGATGCTTTTACTTAGAAAAGTCAGGGGGGTGATACCATATGTCCAAGGAAGAAAGGGAGTAGTACTACCTGCCTTGAATTTAGCGCAGGATAGTAGGTTTGCTAATGCTGGCGGCTTATCCAAATTCGCATTTTCAGGAGCTTGTGCTCACACGCCTAAAAAAGCAAATTTTAAACTATTACTTATCGAGAAACCTTCTCTAATTAAAACAACCACCAAAACTGAGATGAAGCATATGCCCATGTAGTGTGCACACAATCTTGCTTCTACATAGACTACCCTTGTATCCCACCTTCTGATAAAAATTAATTACCCATGCAAGCTCTCAACCTCTTAGCTTTCCTTCCTAGTCTCCGCATAATACTTTTCCCAATCCATTAGCTTTCTTCTCATTATCCCCAAATTTTCACTCCCTAACACTCACCAAAAGCTTTTGAATTCTGTACTCAAAATTTCCAGTATTGCATTCCGCACAGGAAGAATTTCACCATCATATGACCATCGCAGTATCCCTCCATTCAACCATACATAGCTTGTTAATCAGCAATCAAATACTAGATATTCAGACAAATCATTTTTTTCTAGATTACCTGCAAAGGCAGAAACCACTTACGGTCCCCCCTTTCCTATCTTTAATGTCATGCTAAAAGAATCCCTAATTCATCAAATTGGTTCCAGTTATGGACAGATTTTTACAACAACAACAACAACCCAGTAAAATCTCATAAGTGGGGTCTGGGGAGGGTAGAGTGTACGCAGACCTAACTCCTACCCCGAGGGAGTAGAGAGGTTGTTTCTGGAAGACGCTCGGCTATGGACAACTTTTTATTTATCAAAAAATTACTAAAAAGAATAAAAGAAATCTGTACATTCCAATTTAAACTTTATTCCTGTGGGGAAAACCATCACCATCATATGTGGGGAACTCCAACTATTCTATCTCAAACATTAATCCTCTGGAAAAAATCCCAGTATGTGCTATAACGATATCCAAGCTCGCTACATAAACCAAGATCAGACTACTTGAGCAATATCAACTCTAGCATCTCTCATTGACAGGCAACATTATAATCCGATCTGATGAACATAAACATATCTATACACAGATATAAGGATTACTCCGTTTCAAACATTAACTTCTCAGAATAAGATCCTTATTTGTACTACCCAAGGTCGCTATGCATACACAAGGACCGAAATACTTGAATAATTTCACCACTAAAGCTCAAACATACACAGAGGCGGATTTAGCTTGTAATCTACAGGTTCACATAAACCCAATAGCTTTTGCCCATACTCTATAGTATATGTTTTAAGAAATCCATAAAATATCTATAACTATTTGACTATGAACTCAATTATTATTGTATATTAACTTGAGGTTGCTTTAGGAACTCATAAACTTCAACTCATGGATCGCCGATCAGCATAAACATGTCTATAAACAGAGAAAAAGATTGCTCTGCCGAAACTTTAACTGCTCTGGATAAAATTGTTATATGCGCTATTCAAGCTCTCCCTATATACACCTAGACCAAAATACTCAATCAATTTCATAGCATAAACATGTCTATACACAGAGACAAAAATTACTCCATTTCAAACTTTAATCGCTCTGGAGAAAATCCTTATTCAAGCTAGCTAGTATGCAGTATGTATCTATCACATTAGAAAATTCAACACAAAATGCGAATTAAAATCTGATAAGTATAATATGCAAACACAGAAACAAAAGAATACTCACCGAAATCCTATCAGCGAGAAGAGCGAGATCGGAGAAACCAGAATCATTATCACTGCTATACCGAGACTCCGCACCGACACTACTACTTTCCAAAAAATCACTAACCATAGCAGCCAAGTCAGGTTCGCTCTCGTGACTGTAACCACCGCCGACGCTGCCGGTTCTATTGAGCCAATTTCCGGCTGTCCAGAATAGTTCTCCTCCTCCGTTGCCGCCGCTGCTGCCGACGGCCACTGGGCCTCGGCGTTCGTGACTCCTCATTTCCGGCGAGCTGAGTACGTTAGGTTTTGAAAATGGAAATTTTGATTTGGATATTTTGAAAAAAGAGAAAGTGTCAACTGTCAAATGAGGCGAGCGGGAATTGAGAAGCTAATTCCTTTCTTTTCTCTTTTGTCCGTTGAGCTTTCAGCTTTCTTTTTCCGCGTTTCTATTATGATCTCGATTGTTCTTAAAGAGGAAAAAAAGACTTTGGCACATTATATATTTATCTGCACTAAGTATTTGTATTAAATTAATAATTCAATTTTAAAGGGTGAAAATGAAAATGAAAATATAGATGTGTGAATGAAAAAAGAGAACTTTGATTAACTGGAAATTAGCTGCATTCATTCTCATACACAGAATTTGGTCATTCTTTCTGCGACAACAAAACTCGTTGCATTATTGAATATGTATTTTTACAAATTAGGTAATAATAAAGAAATAACAACGATATTTAATAATTAGACAAACGAACCAATAATTATTAGAGAAATTGAATACTTGTAACTTATATTGGTATATAGCTACTTTACATTGCAACATTATTAAATTGTCACCATTTCCTTCACCCAATTTCTTAGCTGTAGCCGCCTCTAAAGATATTATTAAAATAAATAAATTATAAGATGGTCTTAACGAGAAATGAGCACACCTCGTGCGAAAAGTTGAATTAGGTTATAATGACAAATCCGATGTCCTGTAATTTTTGGTTGTTTGGATGGTCGTTACATATAGTTTCATTATGGTTATATAATATTGTATTATATTATTTGATGAATATAATATTTAGATAGATTGTATCGTTACCGTCATTTCGTGATGTCACGCACCACCAATATGATGAATAAACTTTTTAACATATTAAGAAAAAATATGATACAAAATAGAATTATTATATAAAAAAATAGAATAAATGATAAAATATTTATTATTTAATATAATAAAAAGGGCAAGATGAGGAGGAAAGGCAAGGTAACGATGTCGTCACACCAAATCCGTCGTTATATAAAATGACACTTCTCGTCGTTACGTAACGACAGATTTAATAATACGATACAATAAAATTTAAGTAACAATGAAAATAAATATTATATTTAAAATAATAATATGATTCATTACACTAGGTAACAACCATCCAAACAAGCTGTAATTGTATACGGGACTTTGTATAACTTGTGGAGTTCTTTATATTAAGCATCTGATTATAACCCTTTGTTAATTATAGCATGTTTGGCCAAGCTTCTTTTTTGCCAAACGCACTTTTTGCCAAAAATTGAGGTGTTTGGCCAAGCTTTTGGAAGAAAAAAAAGTGCTTTTGAGGAGAAATAGAAGCAGTTTTGGAGAAGCAGAAAAAAATAGATTCTCTTCAAAAGTACTTTTTTGAGAAGCACTTTTAAGAAAAATACACTTAGAAGTAATTTTTTAAAGCTTGGTCAAACACTAATTGCTGCTCAGAAGTGTTTTTCAAACTAATTAGTCAAACACAAATTGTTTCTCACCAAAAGTACTTTTGAAAAAAAAGACTTCTCAAAATAAGCTGATTTTTGCAACGTGTTTGAAAAAAAAGACTTCTCAAAACACAAATTGTTTCTCACCAAAAGTATTTTTGCAGTTTGGCCAAACGGGCTATTAGTTAATTTCAATTTGCAACGTGTTTGAAAAATTTGCTTTTTTTCTTTTTCTTTTTCTTGTGAAGAATGAATCCAGATTACAAAATAACCGATTGAAACAACCAAAAAAGAAAAATGAAAAGTCAAAACAAGAGAAAATCAAACATATTTTTAAAAGAATAGAGAAAATCAACTTGCGCAGGTAAACGTCAATACGCGTCTGCTTTGGCGAGTCAAACAAAAGTGATACAAACTATTATCCTAATCCTAATCCGGTCTCTTGGCGGTGGCTGTCACTTTCACGCGTTATGGATATACAACTACTTTGTTTACCCTTAATTATTGACAAATTCGCGATAGTTAGCAGAGCACGATATAAAACTCGAAGAACATTAGAAAACAAACATTTCTATAATAAGAGTATATTTGGAAAGTCACATTGTAATTTAATTTGGGTGTAATTATACAATCTTAAATTGTTTGTCCAACGTAAAATGGGTGAAATCTAGGGGAAGCAATTATACTTTCTAATTTTCAAGAGAGATGCTAAAATTATTGATAATTATGTGGTGTGATTACAAAGTGATTTTTTTAAAAACAATTATTCGAATTTATCTCTTCCATTTTAAATATGTGAGGAACACTTGTTAAAACAATTTCATGTTTTGCAAGTTTTTTTTCTTCTATTTATTAGTTATGATATTTATTATAGGAAAATATTATTTGCCATAGTTTCTTAGGTTGTAGGAAAATAATACGGAAAAATAACAACAATAATATTATTTGTGAGCAGAAATACATTAATTGACTTTAGTCGTGCTGGGCATTATCCTAAGAAACTATTTCAGCAATGTGAAATATTTCCCCATAAAAGTCTACCTCTATTTATTTAGAGGACACTTGAATCAACAAAATTAAATAATACCATAAGTCTAGAAAATAAACTGGAAAGAAGGAACAATTTAGTAGCACGAAAATATTTATGTTAATAAAAAAAAAATACACAATAATTATGAGTAATCATTAGGTAGTGATAATACTTGAAGAAGATACTTTTTGTGTAAGAAATAATTACACAAAACGTGGGTGAAGGAAGAGAAAAAATATTTCTGATGGTTATTGTTTGACTAAAAAGATAATGGAATTTTTTCGAACAAATCAATTAAAGAAAATGAAGGATAAATCTTAGTTAAACATAATAAATTCCAGATCAATGAGATAACTAAATAAATAGTACATAAGATGAAATAGAAGTAACCGATCTTATTGAAACTTTCGTTGTGCTTCCCATTAGTCAATGGGGGAGGTTGTTTTACATATTCTTCTTTGGAGATTGCTAAATTGCTCCTTTTGTTTTTAGGAATATTGCAGAAGAGGGAAGTAAGGAGAGAGGGAGAAGCCCCCCAGATCCCCTTAACCGAAGGTTTTCCCTTACTATATATAGTCATGGGACCTTTGCTATCTACTTGGTCCGACGCTCTTACATTATGTCTGTCTTGGTCGTCTTCTAAACATCGTTTCTTTTGGCTCGACGGGTATCGAGAATGCTGGATATGGAATAGGCTATGTTGTCTTTCACCGCCTTGCCGCCTGGACGAGACGTTGGTCAGCTTGACGGCAGCGGACAGATTTTGACCAATATAGTTAGTCCTTCCGTCTGCCGGGGTCGTCCCCTGTCGGGTTAAGCAGACGGTTCATGATTGCTACGAATTCGAGAGAAATCTGATTGCTTGTTCTTCGGTTATGCTTTTTAGGTTTCAAGTGGGATGCCGACACTCTTTTGATATCCTTGGACCATTGCGGCTGTTTCGGAACCGAAACTTCGTTTGGCATTGAAGCGTTGTTTCGTGGTTGCCGCCATTATGACACATGTTCCTGCGGAACCAAAACGTTTCGTGCCCTATCAGATTCGATTGGCGACTCTTGGGTTTCGTGCATGGGGGATTTATGTCTCTTATAAATAGAAGGAGCACATCATTCGATTGACACACTTCTTTGCCTTTTGCTTGAAAGAATTCAGCAGATATATTTTCTTCCTATACTCCGAGTCTTTGTTTGCCCTCAGTTAGCTGAAAACTCTCATCCTTTCTTTCTGTTGTCTTTTTGCCGCATCATCTTGACAAAATGGCTGGTGATTCCTCTCGCACCGATCTCCCTGTCACAATTCCGGCACCGGAAAATGTTGCTCAGGCCAATGGAGGGGCAGAAATGGTGGAAGATGGGGAGGTCCCATCGGTAGTTGAGATTTTACCTCGTCCTGGGAGAGAATTGACCGACTTCAGCAGTCGCGCCGGGGCGGAGCCGGAACCTGTCCATTCTGTTATGAAAGAAGAAGACATTGCAGTGTTGAAAGCTATGTGGGGGATCCCTGGTTACGTTGACATGCGACCGGCGATAGAGAACGACATAGTTCATTTTGACCGTCCTGGGTACTGCGTGTTTTACGCCTACCCCTTTCTTATTGGATACATACTTCCTCTCCCTCTCCTGGTGATAGAATTCTGTCGTTTTTATGAGGTATGCCCAACTTTCGCTGTATCTGTACAAGTTGTTCCTCATGTTGCTCAAGTTTGCAGAACTCGCCGGCCGTGAGATCACTTTGGATCACATGCTCAATATCTTCGCCCCTCAGCTTATCCACGGCACGATGCTTCACATGCGTCCTCAGAGGTCAAAGAGTCTGGTGGTGAAAATGGACGACAAGGCTAACCGTCGTTTCTACGAGAATTATTTCTATGTGCGGAACTAGCACATTGTGGCGGATCCAACAGGGTTCCCTAAGAAGGGGAACTTTGCACGTAAGTTTCTTATGTTTTTAGTCAGAGATATATCCGACCACTTTCTATTACAGTACTAAACCCTATGTAGCCGAGAAATTGCCTCCTCCATCTGTCGAAGGTATCCACGAGTGGGTGAGCTCCATCCTTCCCCATACAGTGGGGGTTCGCACATGGTCGGCCTTTTATGAAAAATTTGGACGTAGACCCCTTACAGGTGAGATGTCATTTCTGTTTACTATTTTTCCTCCCTTTTTACTTAGTTTCTCATGTGTTGTTTGTCGATGCCATGGAGAGTGCGGAGAGCGAGGGCTCCTCCATTGGCCTTTCGTCAGCCGACCTCATCTGCTCGCCCTGTTGCAGCACCTACCGCTCGGCCTTCATCAAGGGTTGCTTCAGTAGAGTCTGCGACTATGGTTATTCCTGTGGAGGTCACTTCTCAGACTGAGGTCCCGACTCGTGTTGCTCATCAGACGGGTGAATCTCCCCGTGCTGAGAAAGATGAAAGATCGTCCAAGAGGCGGTGAGTGGAATTCGAGGCAACCCCTCCAACTGTAATACACCTGGATGACTCTCCCCTGATAGGATCTGGGGTGGGGATTGATACCACTCTGCCCATAGAGATGGAGATAGCCGTCGTATCTGCCCCGTAGATGGAGATTCCTGCCGCTATCGTTGATCAGCAACCTGTCGTGATGAGGGGCCAGATTTCTGAGGCTACCGTTGTGGCTTCGGACGTATCCTCAACCTTCGTACCTGGTCGTGCTTCCTCCTCAGCCGCTGAAAGAGGAAAGGGCGTTGTGGTCGATGA